ATGACTTATGAGATGATTTATACAGAAATTTTTTATCAATATGAATATGTAAATTATAGCAAAATTAGTCGAAGTTCAACGTTACAACCTTTTGTAATTTATGAATTTTGTGAAGATACTATTTGAACTCAAGATTCTCTTAAAAAATATTCATATACGATAGATGTTATGATATGGAAATTCAATATGATTTTTTGAGACCTAAAATAACAGATATAATTATATCATCTGCAAGAGAAGCCATAGGAACAAAATGATAATTCTCATCCACATAAAATTACATTGGAGGATTTCAAAATAACTCTCCAGGATTTAAGTGATAAGATTGATATGGACGAAATAAAGATGAAAAGGTGTAGAGAAAATTTTGAATATTCCATTATACAAGATCCTAACATAGATTCCTTAGAATCATAAACCAAATGATATAAAATGAAATCATCAAAAGAAATCTCTTTAATGCATGTTCATGGATTGGAACCACCTTCAATAGCAATAAGAGGCAGAATAAGCTTGTTGAAAGCAGGAATGTTCTCAATATTATTAGCATGAGCAGAAACAACTCCAACATGAGCCAATATCTCTTGAGCTGCCATTGGAGGTTCAAGAGGAACTTTAAGTTTTGACTTTTCTAGTTTAGGAGAAGTTTTAGTTGAAGACCTTACCTGATTTCTATGCCCTTGTTGAGTATCCCATAAATTTTTAGCCCTCGCATATACATCAAATACATACTCAATAATTATAATATATGCAGCCACCATGTTAAAAATATTTAGCACACATAGCCTCTTTGAAAAATTTATATCAAATACAAGTTTGATTATGTAAAAGAATATGAATACTTTCTGTCCATCCATAAGGTCCAACACATTATGAGTAATTGGGTAGATTATATGATGAATTTTAACCAAAAGTTTGTCTCATTCTGTATCAAATTAGTACATTTAATGTTGATTTGCTCTAAAATGAGTTATCAAATGCAAAAAGGACCAAACTAACTCAAAACAGGCAGAACACATTGTAATATCTGAGGAACCAGTCTGAAATAGAACGAAACTCGGCCTGCATAGGCTTGAACAAAAGTGATCAAACCGAACTGGTCAAATAAGAGATGAACTGATTAAAACAAAGAAGCAAAAGTTAAAGACATTGGCAGTCAGGGGCACATACACATCACATGCCAATCTCCACTAACTGGTGGCAGACGAGCTTTTGGCTACTGCTTTCTCCAGTCACTGGGATTCTAGATCGATGGTTGGTGGTCAATGTTACTCATGATGGCTGGGAAGACAGAAATTTGGCATGGTAGAAGTCAATGAAGTAGCGGGGTCAGCAGGTCAATCCGTCGGTCTAGGGATAGGTTGGCAAGCAGTTAATCGATATCTGGAATGAGTTCCCCTTCCTTTGTTGTAAGGGAATGCGTTCCAAACCTTGAAAAAGGATCTCAAATAGCCTTTCTTTTGTAGTAAGGCTATTAGTAGCTCGTACCGCTCCTCTAGTTCAGGTAGTTTAAGAGTGAAGCTAGCTTAGTTCATCGATTTCAGTATGAAACTCTTCCCCTTCATCCCTTGCTTCTTTGAAAGTGTTTGAGTGAAGGCAGCACTTAAGGGATTTGGGAGACTAACGACGAGTGAGGCAGTTCCCAGTGCTGGTTTTAGTCGCTGGTGCTCCGAGTGTACTACTCAGTATTGTATGAGCCTAGTGGTTGTGGTGCTTTCAGTCATCGCTCAGTGGAGGTGATGAATAGAAAGGTTGCACAACTATTAAGTTGTTTGGCTTTTTTTAATTATTTTTTTAAACAATTTTTTTTGTTAGATGTGGTGCAAAAATCTTGGTTTTTCATGTTAAAATTGGTGGAAAGTAGTGTTATAAGTGGGACTTTAATACCGACAGATGTAGGACAAGTAGTGGTCAAACTAACTTGTTATGTATAGTTTAAAAATAGAGAAAACAATTTAGATAAAAAGCAAATAGGCCAAAAAAAAATTAGCAATTAAGGTGAAAGAAGTAGAATGAAGAATGAGTTACTAGATAGAATAACAACCAAAAAGACAAACACAAGAGAGATAATAGTAAATAAAACTCCAACAAAGGAGTTCTTAACACATCACTGTTTATCTTTTCTTGGTAACTATTACTCTTTGTACATGTATTAATTACAACTAATAAGTACTATTATGAAAGAGAAAATATAAAGGATTCTAACTCCTATAATAGTTAAGACCTATATAAACAGGAAATTAAATTGTTAAATGCTTAAATAAGCCTAAATAACATAAAAATACAAAATAATGTTTATAAAAAAAAACTTCTTTAATTGAAAATTTATTCCAAAATAGTATCTTCTTGTTCTCCATCATACCAAGTCAAAACATGGTACTTAATTAGCGTAATAACTTAAATCAATTGAAAAGAGCGACAACTTTACGTTTGGGGGATATTTTCTCCTCTTCTATTTTACAATTCTCTTTCTTTTCAACAAAGTTCATGCTTTATCAAGAAAAGAAAAAGAAAAGCAAAAAAGGAAATTTTATTATTTATACTCCGAATGAAAATATAAGTATAAAATAAAATTTGCTTCAATCAAGTATAAACACTTGTATTACAGAATGGGACAACGCATCCAGCAGCTATTGATATCTAGTTAGAAGAAGGGATGTTAGTTTAAGGCTATCTAAATAATCTGTGGCAGTACGCAGCACAATGGACAACTTTTTGATGCTATTTGAAATGAAATTTATTGTCTATAAAGAAGAAAAAAGTGTTACTAGAGTTGAAATGTAAACCATAATCAATAAATCTTCTCCTTCACTTTCATTTGCTTAATAAATCTTCCAAACTACCTATTTTCAGTTGCTGTTCTATGCTACATTTCTCTGTAAAAATTACAGCCTATTTAGGCTTCAGCATTTTAATGATGAACAAACCCTGGATCAAGCCAATAAAATTCTGTCAGGCCTAGAGAGCACAGCATTTTACACTGCAACTGATCCAGGAAAGTTTGATCTCGAATTAAGACTGGAAATTTAAATCATGTGAATACTAAAGGTGATATATAACGAACCACAAGCAACAATCTGGTCAAGGAGGAAGTTGAAGTGACACCTGCTTTGTCATGTAGAAGAGACTTCTAATGAAGCATGTATCAATTGTACCCTCCGCATAGTATTTCTTTTGCATATACTGTCAGCATATTTAAATGACAAGCAACACTCAGAAAAATGACTTACCAGAAACCACAGAAATAGCAGAAACCAAGGGACCATAAACTCCTCTTTCAGGAATCCTTGTTGTCCCTCTACCAGCCCAATAGAACCGAATTTCAAGGTAGTTAGTTATCACATTGACACTAAACTGTTTCACTAGAGGTTTTTGGGCACCCTTTGCCTCATCTTCAATATTGAAATCCTTTGACACCAGTTTATCCTGTGAAGAGTTCATTCAACTGTTCATAACATTTTACAATTTCAAAAAACTATATAATTGCAGAGTATGAGAAAATACCTGAATATAAATATCATATGAGCGCCGCCCAAGGCTTTTATATGTTCTATCATTTGTAAACTGTATCTCAGCAAATTTCAGACTCACTGTGTATGTCCCAGTTTCTAAGCAATAATAAAAGTAAGTGAGTGAAATTGGAGATATACGGGCTGTAACATACAGATCAGGTAGGTTTGATGATGACACAGAAATGGTGTAACGCCTATTTTGGAAATCATTGTCATCCATGAAATCTCCAGTGCTACTAAATCCCCATTGACTACCAAGTTTCACATAATAGTTAGCAACTCCACCTTCTACTCTTCCATCTCCTTCATACAGGACTTCTGTTTTATTTTCCTTGACAGTTGCATCATTGCCACCACAATTGACATGTAAACAATTAGAATCTGCCATCAATAGAAGAAGAAAATCATACGGAGACAAATAAGATGAAGCAAGATTGAATAGAGAAGCAAACTTACATTATATCTTACATGACCAAAAATATTACTTCCAATTGACTGTAACCAAAAGTAGCAGTTTACATCAATATGGAGAGCTAAACTTAGCATTATATCGGTCATCTTTTACTTTTAGTTTTTTGCATTCTGAACTCTAATATAACCAGCAATTAGACCAGTTCAAACAAGGCATCACAAATTTTACTCCTCTTATCTTCTCGGTGATACTCCAGGATCTTGTGTCCCAGTGTGATTGCCAAGTAAATATAATTCATTAGTGTGAAATGCTTATCGATGTATACACTTTGCATGGTGAAAGCTTTACGAAACATAATGTCACAGGGAAAAGATATAAAAGGGTTAAAGCTGCATAAAGTTTTTTTTCCCAGTTGGCAGGTATATCTTCTCATGTAAGCACATGAAAATTAAACTAAATGAAAGTAAACTCAGCAAAGGTTTCCTGCAATAAAGATGTCATAGTTTGCAATTTTGACCCTGAGTAGAATGGGCAAAGTTCTATGGAACCTAGATATAGACAGCGTTTGGAAAATAAAATAACGGAAAAATATAGAAAGCTACAGCACTGTATAGGCAAGACAAGGTAAAGTATATGTTTGGTATTCATAAGATTGGACAAAATGAATTTATTCTGTTTTATGTTTGTGCTAGTGAACAACACAAAACATGGTGGACAAGTACTAGGGTACCATTTACATTATCTTATATTCTGACTTTGTATGACAGAATAAAATGATAACATTTATATTCTTATGACTAAATAAAATGATGTTGTGTATAAAAAAAATAATATTGTATACTGTCATAAACTAAAATCATATCAATATATAAAAAAAAAATTTTATACATGATAATATATTAAATAAGAAATACATTAATTTTTAGTTATAACACCAGCACCACAAGCTAATCTTTATTTAGTTAACAATTAGTTTTCGAAACAAACATCAAGCTACTTGTTAAATAAATTATTCAAACAAAAAGTAAGCTATATTTAGTTATTATAAACTCAAGAATTGAGAGAGAGAATATGAGGATAAAAATAAAATTGGTCAAGGGATTGTTTTGTACATGCAAAGATTGTTTTGTGTATGACGCCAATTTTGGTAAGTGCAGTAATAATTTTGTTCCACCAAAATAAAGAAAGTGATTTGCCCTTTGATCATAATCTTTTCGTCTGTTTCAACCAACTTTTTCTGCTACTAAAAATTATATTGGACTGTTTTGTGATGTCCAGTCCTATGATTTTAATCATATCAAATGCTACAACATGATAACAACAAAGATTATCCTTGTTAAATAATTAGTTAGCTCCCCATTATCCTAAAAACTTAAATGATTTAACATACCAATTGTAATGCGCAAACCCAAAACTAGGCACGCCATGCCATACATTTATGGAAAAATATCATAAACATGTAAGGCTTGAAGTAAATCTCAAACTTGACCCTTGAAAGCTTAATAATCAATAAGTTTCCTAAATTGAAACTTTACACCAAAGTTTAAAAGATTTAAACTCTCTAAATAAAATGATTTCTCAATCAAAATATAAAACTTAACTAATACATTTTAATTCTTTAAATCAGAATCCTTAGTCACTCACACATCCCAAGTCCTCATGTATAATTTATTCTTCAAAATCTATAAGAGAAGAAAATGGAGTGAACTCAGTGAATAATTAACTCAAATTAACTGGATCAAGTAGATTTAAATAATCATGGCAAAATAGATTTAAAATAGAGTAAATAAAATATAATAATAAAATAATTTCAAAAGTTTTTCAATTAACATTTAAGATAAACTCATTAAATATTAACAAAATTCAAATCAAACCACATTAATTCTTGTGGCAAGGCCCAACACCATATTTAACCCTTATGGTATAGATGATACTCATATTCCTATATCAGAGCCCAAAACTGTATTTAACTCACATGGTGTAAATTATAAAAAAAAAAACATGTTTATGAAAAAAGTTCAACGTATACTCTCGTTGTAGAGTCAAGTCATAACCACTCTGAGAGTTTCAAAACAAACTTACAAGTATGTTCATATTTTTTATCAAAAGCAAATAATTTCGTCAAATATCTCCAATTCCCGACTTCATCAAAAGATAAGTTTGACCCAAATTTATACTCAAAGCAATAATTTACAGTAGGCACTTTGAAAATTTTATATAATTAATAAATAATTTCAAAGCTAATAAGCAATTACATGATAATAAAAATTTACAATAATTTTCAGGTATTGTAAAATATTAGCATAGACTAAAAACTTTTCACTTGTAATGCTAAATCCGAAATTTCAAATAAAATGATAAAACTTCTTTCAAATCCTACTTCATTCAAAATATCAAATAAATATCCAGAAATTCCAATAATGCATATGCATGTTGATGAAAAGCCTAATGTTTGAGCTTTACAATCTATGAGAAATCTACGTAGGTCGTTTAAAAAACTCTAATTTGAAATTCATCAAATTTCTTAGAATTTAATACAAACTCATTACTCCTGAAATCCAAAACTTTTTTCATTCAACTCAATAACTCGAATATCTAATTTACCATAAAATCTACATCTCCACAAATTTTCGACCACTGCAGTATCAATTTTAGCCTCCTAAAATCAACCATTGGAAAATAACGTCTAGATCATCATTTTGCACAACGCGCAACCAATTTCAAAAATTTAGTTATTCCAGCACATATCAAATTAGATAATGATTCTTATATAACAATAAACAAACATAGAACTATCACTTAGAATAAGAAATCAATCAAAAAGGTTACCAAAAGACAGATTGGAAATTCTGAAGTTATTGTTCTTATTTACATTTTTCTCAGCATCCTTAAATATCTAAAAATTTATAACTCAATTATTATCCAAATTACAAAATCTTGATGTATATAGAAAGACATCATATTATAATTATACAGGGTTTATAGCCAAACATTAGCCAGAGAATTAAAAAAGTTAAAGTCTACTGCCGCGCGGTTTGAATTTATCTAAAATCCTAAATTTAAAAAATTCACAACTCATTCAATTTTCATCCAAATAATGCAATCTTAAAGATTATTGAAAACTTAAAATGTGTACATTATAAATAAAATTGTTTTATGGGAAAAAGTTGGCTAGAAAAATCAAAAGCATGGCCTGGACGCACTGTCATGCAATTTGCATTCTACTGTAACCTTTAGTTTTCAAAAATTCATACTTACTCAATTCTAATCTAAATCATGCAATCTTAATGTCTATAGGAAATTTATCATGTGTAAATTATGGATAAATTAGTTTAATATCTGAAATTTAGCCAAAAAATCACAAAACAGCCAAAAAGTCCACTACCGTGCTGTTTGTGATTTGCTGCAATCTTAGACTTTCTAAAATTCATAACTTCTTCAATTTTAATCCAAATCTTACAATCTTAATGTTTATGGAAAGCATCTGATGTGTTGATTATAAATAAAATAGACTGGTAGCAGAAACTTCACAAAAAATCAAAAAGTGGTTAGACCACTACTACTAAATAATTCTTTCCTTCCTTGCATACGCATGTTTTTCTTTTAGCTTTTACAATCTAAATGTCACGCAATAGAGTTTTAATTTAGGGTTTAGGAAACTTATCTTCTTGTTGCCTTCTCTTCTTTCTATCGTCTCGTCCTTATCTTCTCTTTACTTCTTAGGATTTTAGAATCTTTTAACTAAACCCTAATAATTAATTTATAAATATGGAATTGCCCTTTCCATAACAAAAGACCTAATAATTTATATAAAATTACAAAAAACCTGTAACTTTTATAAACAAACTATATAATTTCTCTTGGGCCCATAATTATAACAAGTATTTATTTTCTTGGACTGGCTATTACACACACATTTATTATTTATACAGTTATTCTTTCATACTCCCCCTCACATTCAAATAGGAGAACGAGCTTACAACATGAGCATGTATCAAAAAATATCCGTAGAGCCACAATATACAATCATTGGATGAAGACTCAATTATCAACATGGGGTCAACTTGAAGAGATACACAAGCTACAGATTCATAAACAGGCTTTGCATACATGAAGATCAATTATGGACAACAAATGAGTGAATAGAAAGAAGGAGAAGAGGTTCTAATGGCTTAAATTATCGCTATTCACCTACCATGTTAAACATTTTTTTTTTGAGAGTAGCTACCATGTGTAAATAATTAGTTGGTTATTTTTCTTTTTTCTGGTTAACAATTTTGCTCTAGTATCATGTTTGATTGGCAATTGTTCCAGAAATTTCAACTAATTAGAGTTGCTTACTTTATTGTTCATACATTTGATTATGATGATTATTATATCACAAATCCACGCAACTATGCATGAGTTGTTTGCATTTACACCTTAATAATTTCAAATAGATGAATAAATTTCAAGGAAAAAGCAAGCCAATTTTTCTAAATGCAAACAAAGATATACTTACATCTAGGACAATTAAAAGCCTTCACGCATGGAAGAATCCCCCTTCATCACACAATGGATAAAATCCTATTAGCATATAATTTGAACAAAACATATTACAGAAACTTTGCAATATTGCAGAATATAGTTTTGAAATTACCTAAGAATTTATAAAATACCAACCAACTAAAAGAAAAAGTATGCAACATCTTACATGTTCATCTTTGAAGAGCTCCTAAATAAGTTTAGATTTAGATTCCTAGAAAAATAAAAGGCAAAATAATTGTCAGCTTAAAAAAATATATATGTATAAATTACAGGAATTTGTTATAGAAAGTATTCTAACATGTTCTCTCGACAAGCAGGTTGCTCGGGGCCTTGCCATGTGAAGTTGTTGTATGATAGATCACTGTTGCCCAGAATAAAAATTAATATCAATATCACTTCCGCATCCACTTCCCTATACTTAGGAAACTAAGCAGAAACAACAGCATTTAGCAATTACTTATGCTGTTGGGTGCCTAATAGCCCAAGAGTCCATAGGAAACCAAAAGCTTAACTTGGCCTGTTCAGTGACTTAACAACGGGTGAATAATTAGTGGGAAAGAGGTTCATGGCTCCAATCTAACATCACATCAAATAAATAGTTCAATGAACAGTTACTCCAAAGAGTTAAAAAGCTAATGTCAAATTTTATTATTTACAGTATAAAAAATCAAAAATATATTATTCTAATGCCCAGGAAGTGTATCATACAAATGAGTCTTTAACCTTAGGAAAGTTGGAAGAAAGAGGAAGGATATTTCTAAGAAGGTCCAGATTCAAAATTAAAACTTGATTTCCTCCTGAGTGCATTAATAATTGATGCAGGAAAAAGATACAACATTTACAACGATTTTGGGAATGTCATAGATATACTAATAGATTTGTAATACCTTGTAATGGATGGCACCCCCTTGGTGCCACCGATTTAATATACTTCATATACTTTTTATTCAACAAAAAAAATCAATGCAGAAAAAGAGCATTCTTTTTTTTGAGATAAAAAGAATGTGTATTATGTAATTGACACCAAGGGATTTATTTAAAAAAAAAAAGTAAAAGGACACCAAGGGGGTGTCACCCCAGTAAAAGGTATTTACATTGCAGTTAAAACATCCAAAACCTTCCCAAAATCATCCTATTCATACATATCATGCCTAAGAATTAGAGTCCAAAAATAATGTAACCACCTATCTCTAACAGAAAAAGACCATTTTAAAAAGGTCATATTTCAATCTTATGAGTATTTATGTAATTTATAACTTAGTCTTGCTAAGGGTATTTAGATAATTTAGGAACTATTAAGAATAGGCTTATTATTAGTTTAGTATTTTATTTCTTATTTACTGAAAGTCTTATTGTGTTGCTACTAAATAATATATCATGATGGATGATATAAAAAGCTGAACTGATAGGAAACAATCCAATCTATGCATTTATGTTCTTTGCTGTCAATGAAGCTTGCCAGCATATGCATAAACCTCGTGAGAATCATTTTTAGGCTTTAAAACGTACAATATGCTACATATAGGGTGTTCTATTTTATGGCCTTCAACTTTACATTGACTCTTCTATGTGTTTATTGGGATATCCGGATGCAAACTGGGCATGACATCCTGACATCCTGACATCTACCACATCATATTGCATTTGTCGACACATGGATGATTCAACATCATTGTGGATAGTAACAAATTATGGATACGGTTTTTTGGTGGCTAATGAAGTTGTAGATGATTTGAAGGGGAATAATACAGACAGCATCCTTTGCAAATTGGATATGAAAAAAGCTTATGATCATGTAAGCTGGGATTTTGTGGACTACATGTTGGGGAGGCTCAGTTCTGATGATAAATGGAGGAGGTGGATTAGGGTGTGCATTACTAGTACTTCTTTTGCTGTCTTGATCATTGTGGATACATGGGTGATTCAACATTATTGTCTACAGTACTTACGAACAAAAAATATTAACATCCTCATTGATTGCATACCTAATCATCCTGCAATGTTGTTAAGACAATCATGAGGGCATTTTTTGAGGATTTGATTCTTTTCTTTTTCTATCTTCCTAAACCTTATTCCACTACGTTACATTAATAATCTATAAAAACAGAGAAAAAAATGACGGAAGATTGGCATGAAGTGTTGAACGGTTAAAACATATATCTGGCAGTGGAAGATCCAAACAAAATACTTAAGAGTTGATGTTACAGACAAAAGAGATTCCTCAACCAGCCATGGGCGTTCAAACTTAACCACTGCAAATAGTATGGTGCATTAACAACAAATGCACTGAAAAATGAATCGAAAATAACAAGGAAAAAAAAGTTGTATATGTATGATAAATAACATACACACTACTACCATCGACGAGTATTGAATCTGGTATATCTCCACTCAGCAAGTTGTGACTTAAAAAGCTGACAAGAAGAAACACTGGAAAAGATGAGAATTCAATAGAAATACCAGAATATGAAGCAATTATATGATGCCCATTATAACTGCTGTTGAATTTGATTGCCTTTTTATAACATAATTCTCACCCAGAAAAGTGGGTCTCTCATTGGAACAATCAAAATGCAAATTACTTACTACTTAAGAAGGTTATCAAATTTTTTCTTTTTGTCCAAACGAATTTAGCAGAAGTCAGAAGCAGCCACAAGCTTTAGTTAGAACTTACACAAATCTCAAACGCTTTGCATGTATGGTAAGCGGAACTTTTCCAGCTAACTTGTTAAAACTCACATCCCTATCACATTCATTAAAAATATGAAACAATCATCATCTATCCTCAAACATTATGAAAAGTAAGAAGTACTGAAGAAAAGAAATAAATGGAAGATATGTATGTGCTTGTCTCAAAAGAAGAAGTGGGAGAATTCCCACACTATGTCCTTGCAATTTCCTTTACAATAGGATAAGAAGAATAGAGAGGTAACTCGGAACAAGAATCATGCAGTCCACTTATATTAACATAAGGGAGGGAAGAAACAGAAAGCAATAATCAAGTAACCAGTTTACTTACAACATTTCCAGATTCTTCATTGCCCAGATGTATGCTGGAATCTCCCCAAAAATGTTGCAGTTCCTCAAGATCCTAAAAGACAGCTAAATGATATTAAATCAAAATGGATCGTGATGAAACATACAATCTTGATGAAACGAACACCTAAAATACAATCAACATACAGTCTTTCTAGGCTTGTCATGCTTCTGATCACAGGGAAAAGCTGGTCAGATCCATTTATATCAGTAATTCTCCTGCGTAAAATATCCATCATAAGCAAAACTATGGAAAAAAATAAATGAACAGAAGAAAGATACTATACAACTACTGGTTAATTATTTCAAAAATAAAACAACTACTGCTTAAAATAAGCTTGAACTTACAACTCAACGAGATTATTCAAAATAGAAATGCTTGATGGAATGGGTACCCTTAGTCCACTTGCCTGCATTTCTCTTTGAAGATCAGACACAAATAAGATTGTTAGAAAATGAAAATACAATATTAAGTTTGATCCATCTCAAAACACTCAAGGCATTTCATATCTTCTAAAAAGGTTAAGGGTCTTACAATCTTGTGAGCTGTTTCCATTTCTCTATGAACATAGGTATTGGTCCGTTGAAATTGTTATCGTTTATCCTTCTACATGATGCAAAAAAATCTGAGTTTACTTAGAATATGCACAAACATGTGGTGAAATAAAAGCCAGAAAAAAAAAGGAAAAAGCATACAAGTCTGTCAGATTTATTAGCCTAGCAAATGTCACTGGCAAGTTCCCGGACAATTGATTGGAAGAAAGCATCCTGCATGAAGCCTCAGAAACAAAAAGGCATTCATTATTAGAAATGTTCTATTAACATAAAGTTAAGGACTTCAGAAATAACGAAACATAAGAAATTGGATGTCTCACAGAGTCTGCAAGTTGACTAGATTGCCAAGTTCATGTGGAACAACACCAGAAAATTGGTTTCCTTCAAGGTTCCTGATTAACAATGTTTATGTAAGAAATATAAATCTTCCTGTACTAAGAACTGTAAATATGCCGGGCAAATGGAGAAATGTTGTAACAGATGTCAACACAAATTTAACATTTTAAGGTTACTTTGCATGTAAAGCAAGATAACAATGATCTCACTGGCTTAATTTTAGAGATTATCCTCAATTTTTAAGGACTTCAATAACCAGAGCAATGTCTAATATAAAGAAAGATTCAAAGTTTATGAACTTACAGATATGTCAAGGTGGTAATATTTCCTAACTCCTTCGGAATGTTCCCTGATAAGTTATTTACAAGAAGAGAGCTGCATGATACTTACTGGTTAATATGTGACAGCAAAAATTAGATCACACAAATCAACATCCTCACATTGAAGTTAACCGTGTTAAAGCCCATTCACGAGGTATGGTGCCAATGAGGTAGTTGTAAGCGAAATCACTACAATAACAAGAAATGGCAATTCAAAACCCATTAGTTATTTTTATTGGTTCTAGTCCATTATTAAAGAAAATAACATTATAATTTATCAACATCAAACATATATTGAGGCGTTTAAAAGGATACTTACATTTCTTGAAGATAGGGTAGTTTAATCAATTGGGGTGGAAGGATTCCGTGAAGACTGTAACCCTTGAGGACTCTAAAAGAGATTGACATTTAATTCTTAGTATGAGGTGCAGACAATTGCTATCAAGGAAAAGAAATAAATAGTAACTGCTAATATAAGAAAGAAAATGATTTAACACCTAAAATTCTTTGGCAAATCTAACATTGGCTCATACAATTATTGATTATGTGATAAAGCATATCCATCTTATTCACTTTGAAATCCAAGCACTAACATTGACAACCTACTTGGTTGTTCATTGACATACAGAGGAGGTGATCAAAACTAAATGCTATTGAACTTCGAATCAAGGAAAGAAAAAATCATGGGTTAGCAATTAGTTATGCAGAGGATGATATGTAAAGGACAACGTATTGTGACAAGAGAAATAGACATGTTCCTGTTAGCCTCTGCCCTGCCAATGCATTTTGCTAAAGGGTGCTTCTACTTCACATTTATAAAAATTAACAAATTAGTACAAGTAATAAATGTCTTATACCATTCAACAAACAAAAGGAAAAATTCTTAGACCTCTAAGCCTACAAGAGTTATATGCAGCTCCAGCGTATAACATCCCCTTCAACAGGGTTCTCACTTTCAATGCTCTATTTATTATCTATAACACGGCCTCAAACTGTTAGATTGACTCACAAAATTGTAAAACACAATTAGGTAACAGTACTAACAACATAGGTAGCTTTGGTGCACGTTTAGGATAGACAGGAGAGCATTGAATAGAAATTGAACTGAACTGAACAAAGTAGATGATATTTTGTTATGTAGGATTGGCATAAAACAAGATATATGTCAGATTATCTACATGCTGTTGTGATGTGGAATATATTTTTATATCTTGACAGGAAGAGTAGAAAATACATAGGTATAAACTATAAAATTAATTATAAATATTTTAATTTAAAGCATATAGAAACTTTAATAGATTAAATTAAAGAATAATTTATTGAAACTATTAATATTTAACAAATCATTTAAATAAATTTAGTTCAATTATCTGATTTAACCATAACGATATGTTATGGTAATCATAATCATTAACTTAGAAGAAAATACCATTGAAATATGAAAGAATGGCCATATTTACACAATAGCTAATTGGGCCATTAATGGCCAACGGCCAAATAAACAGATTTGTGGTCATATCAGATAGATTTCAGGGAAAAGTATGTTAGTAATTCATGGTTGAACAACATCCAGAAGTAAGGGACAAATGAAAGTGTTAATTCCCTAAAATGGTATTAGTAGAAGCAGTAACGTGCTGGGTATTTTGACATTACACAAAGTGAAGCTTGTTCTCTCTGTCTATAACAAAGTAGTCCCATGCATTTGAAGGAACAATTTTATTCCTTCAATCTACCATTTCTTTTATGTTCTAGCCTCTCCTTTTTATTCCGAAACAAAATAATGGACTTGTTTGTTTAGTTCTCTTGTTATTTCCATAAAACTAACTCATAATCTTAAACATTAAAAATCCTTCAAACATTGATTACTAATTAGGTAGATTATTGGGTGTACAAAAAAAAATGAGGGACAAGATTAGCGAACTTTACATCCTTATGATATGACAAACAGTGCTGTTCTCATAGTGGCATTCACAAGCTATTTCATGCTCTGCATTCTTTGGAGGCACAGGAGTGAGCCCAATCATTTCCACTCCACAAGAATCCGAATTGAACTTCCAGTATTTCGAGCCCAATGTACTAAATATTTGCTGAAGAGCATCAACTGAAAAAATCAAGAGAACAGAAGATGTTAAATGTGTGATAAAGAGAAAAAGGTAAGATAAATAGAAAATAGAACCTATCATACTCGGCCAAAAGATGGCAAAAGGGTAGAGAGAAAGCTTATAGAGAACAATATGGAAGATCTCATTTTACCAAAGTGTTCAAATATATGCTTAATTTAATCATCTTAGTCTCTCTCACCCATCACTCAAATATTTCGGCTGCTTCTTGTTATTCATTTCTTCCTTTGGACTTAAATTAGTGCTCAACAGTAAACTTACTAATCATTTTCTCAAGCAAGTGGTTTTGTCACCTTATATTTCTTTTTCTCTCATTTTGTTCAAACTCCACTTAAGAATCCCTCGTTTCTTCTGTTATATTTGAATGCCATGTAACTAAAACATGTTAGTTTAAATGAATTGTCCATCAAAGGAGTTTTGCTTCCTTTGTACAAATATGTTTATTGGCAACTAACATGGCCGTAACTGACGATAAAACCTTCAACAAAAAGAATAAGAGTATCAAACATGGGTAAGTACAGTTGTGGGTGCTGAGAAGAGATGCAGGATTTTTTAGTTGGTAGCAATAGTGTCAAGGAAATTGCAATGCCAGATTAAGATGGGTTGCTCAAGCCAGGATTGGACATATAAGTAAAAGTAAATTGATTATTTTCAGTCGAGACTAGAATTCAGGGCCACTGCCCTCCAAAAACAAATGACAACAATATAGAAGAAATCCATGAGAGCTTTGGTTAATCCATGTTATATAGATTGAGGTTTACATTTGATAAAAGTCATGCCACCAATGACGTACCAAATTATGTTTGAGAATAGCAGATATATAAATTGCTATAGAAGAAAGAGCAGAGATTAAAAAAACAAAAAAAAAAAAAAAGCAAAAGGCTTATTTTCTAGATTCCTTTTTGGTCTAATCAATTTGTTTAAATCCCCTCGTCATATCCATTTAAAATTAACAAAACATATATAAGAACATAAATTATAAAATGTTTGTAATATATATTTGATTAGTTTTCAGAAAAATAATTGATAACTTTTTACCTGCTTATAATTTAAATAAAAATTTATATGTTCTAAGCAATCCAAACATTAAGTAAGATATAAATTCACAATATTATTTATATTCACGTTGAAAATAAATTTGAAAAAACTGTGATATAATAAAATAGTATTTCAAATACAGATAATAACCAAACAACAATGGTCTACTATTTTGGGTTAATTACAGAGCAGTTACTGTGTGTGGAATGCACTTTCTTCCTCATATTGTTATTGTCTAATTAGACAAATAGTACCAAAATTGGCTTGCCAAAAAAAAAAGGAACAATTTATAGATGTATACATAATCTTTTCTAAGACTATTTAGAATGTGCAGGCCACAAAAACTAAACAAGTATCTTTCAGCAAGTGCAGAATCTAATTCCATATAACCCCAGAAAATAATCCGCCTACAAATTAGATTTCAGATGCATATTTGGGTTGCTGAGAAAACAGAAAAAAGAAATATAAAATTTCACAGAGAACTTACTAAAAGAAAGTTAAGCTGGACACGATTGTTCCAAACAGGTATTGTCAACGATATCTCGACTAATGGTATCCTTCCCTCTATTAATCGCAAAACAAACGGGTTTTTTTCTTTTGGTGGGCAGGAGTGACAAGAACTTGAAACTTCAGTTCCAGCACATTTTCCCGCACTTTCCAGGTAACCAAGCAGAAATTCAACATCCAACTAAACGAAAAACCGGATCCAAAATATAAATCCCTACCCATTTTCCAGTTCCCACAATTTACATCAACCAAAACGTCTTAAATGTTAGAAAAAGAAAAAAAATTGTACTAACCTTCTTCCTGAGGCAACTTTGACTCGATAACTCTGAGCAACCTCAAGCAACTGAGTGCGAAAATCAAGAAAACAAAGAGGTGCTTTGCAACCATGACTGAAGAAGTTCAGTAGTGGAGAGAAGTAAAAGTTCTACATTAACTTAGAAATTCAAAGTGGATGAAAATGTCATTGATATTAATAACCAGATACATCTTCTGCAATAATTTAGAGCTAATTACAATGAAAGAATTCCGATGGCCCACTCAAATAATTTCAAAAGAGGTGATGCGATTGCTAAGTGACTTGTTGCATCCTTTTCTGTGACGAGCTTCACTGTGGAAATCCGGGTGGCTGTCGGACTCGGATCAGTAAATTAAAAAAAAATATATAGTTGGCAAGCACGAGAATAACATACATTTTTTTTTTTAAAAATAATTATAAAATATATTATTTTATATGATAACAAAAACTATTTCCTTATTTTATTTTATGATATTTTTATATTAGTGATTCATTAAATTTTATAATAAAAATTTTTTAAAAGTAAAAGTTGTGATAGTATGAAACCATAGTTATAAATTTTTTTAATTTTTAAAAATTAATTATAAATTACCAACTGAAAAGTTATTTTTTAATAAAATAAATACGATGCATTTTTATATTTAAATTTAAGTTTATAAAATTTTTTTTTACAGTACTTTAAACAAATTTTGTATAAATAAATAATATTTTTTATTATTAGAAAAAAAATAAAACTCATTAAAAAATTAATAATATCATTTAAATAAATTAAAACAAAAAATATTTTAAAAGATTTTTAAGAAAATAGTAAATCTAATTATAAAGATTAGTTCGCTTATAATTTTATGTTATTAAATGAGTAAATTCATTATCTTACAAATTTAGATTTCAAAAAATTAAACTCTTTAAAAATTTAAGTTGGATTAGATTTTCTAAATATATGGATGGTTTAATTTGATTTGGTTCCCATTATATAGTAATTTTAAAATATTATATATTGTTTAATATGTTTATCAAATATATTTTGCAAATTGGACTTAAAATTTTATTTTAGTATTTTGTTTTCGTCACTTATTTTTAAATCTACAACTCTTATTTTTATTTTAATTTTATTTAGCAAAATATTTTATACTAATTGTTTTGTATTTTAAAAGTGAAATTTTTTAAAAATATTTAAGACATATTATATACAAATACATATGTTTTTTTTTAATAGGTCCGAACTGGTACGGATTATAGACCCGTATGACAGTACCTGACCCGGCCTGAACTGCAAGGATGGGCCAGGCCCAATTATGAAGAACTCTAATTGCCACCATTTTTCTGGCTCTCGAAATTGCATAAATGTTTACTGCTGCAAGAAGAAAAGTTAAAAAGGATTCGCTGGTCTATCTCGAGAGATGATTACGAAGCCGAAGTAAAAATCTGAGGGATCATAGGAGGGAAAAACAAAAAGAAAAATTATTATGAATGTGTAAAGTCAAAGAATTTGTCTGATAAAAAAGATGGAAGAAGAGACCAGTCAACCAAGAATCTTGTCTCGTCCGCATCGCAAAAACGCGGTTTTGGGCCATTATTACGGTCAAACCATCTCTTTCCTTCCCCGAACACAAGAAGCAGGACAACAAAGGAAGCTCACCAACTCCCAACTCCAAATCCAACCCGCAACAGATAACAAATACCAACAATAACATTTCTTCTTCTGAAAAAGAGAAAACTATGAACAGTCGCTGCTGTTTGTGAATGAGAAATTTATCTTCTATGGAAAAACCCACAGGAGGAGGAGGAGGAAGCTTTTGCTCAGGCCTGGATGCTTTGACTACCACCCTTAGCAACTCAATCCAAGCTCTGGGTCGTGGTTTTGATGTCACATCGGATATCAGACTATTGTACTGCAAAGGAGCTCCTGGGTCGAGGCTGATTCACATTGATGAAGATCGTGGAGTAGATCTTCCTTTATACGATGGCGCTGTTCTGTTACGTAATGTGCCTGTTGATATTGAGTGCTCAACTGAGATGAGGAGCATCGAGAGGATTCCAGTTTGCAGTTTCCATGAGGTGAGGTAGTCTTAGTGATCTGTTCTGTTCATGTGTTTTTAATCTCTTCAACATTATTTTGCTGGGTTAAAGCTCAAATCCTTATCTGGACACTGTTTGATGCTCAAATGGAGATTCACCTGGGTTTATTGTCCAATTTTTTTGCTTTACTCTCTTGTGGGCTTGTTATATTTTCGGTTGGGGGTGGTATATTGAGCTTCTTGTTGTTTTGAGTACGGTTTAGCAACCGAGTAGTCCATATATGAGTGCTGTTTATGATTTCTTATTTCTCTTGATGTTGCGCATTTGAGATTTTCTTTTTCTAATTTCCGCACTTAAATGCACTATTTCTGATTTTTTATGATTTGGAAATGAAATATAACTTCTTTTAATTAGTTATGTTGGATATGAAATTTTCAATTATGTCATTATGCAAGCACCAAGTCTTCTTGTCTTCCTTCGTAAATTCTTCATAAGGTTGAAGCTATAGTAATTTCTTGACCAATTCATGACAAAAAGACTTGGATATTGGAATTAATGATTTTGAGGATGTACCACTGGTTTAGCTTTTTCTCGAGGATTAGGATTTTGTATTGTTTTCTCCTATTAGTTTCCTTTTTCAGTTTTGAGTTTTATTTCTAAAGTCTGGGCACCCTTTGCATCAGCAGTCCCTGAAAAATTGCCACTACTATGGAAGATCTTTGCCATGTTATTTGAGCTATTCTGTTCAAAGAACTTCTGATTTTTTGAGTAAGGAACTTAGGAGGTACCTCAACAAAAGTATTACTTTATCTCAAGTATATGATGTGTAATTTTTTGCTATTCTGATCATCTTCAAATTGAAGCTGTTGTCATGTTCATTAATTTGTCTATTATGGCTAGAGCTTTCTCATGGAAGAAGGAAAAATGATCTTGGACTTGACCTGGCAAAACTAAGACAATGTAGGTTAAACTTTTGCACCTTGAATAAGAGAGTTATGATGCACTGTAAAAAATATAAAGTAAAATTTGACTTCAGACTTGTATATTTTTAGTGAAAACTTAGTCATGGATACTTTCAATTGAAGAATTCATAAGCAAGAAAAAATTGTCATTTTATGGTGAAAGCAACATTGTTGGAGAGGAGTAGAAAGGCAAAAAAGAGTAGAAGGTTACAAAAGAGAACTAGATGTCCTCATAAAGAGGGGGGAAAACAAAGAAGGCATGAAAATGGCGAGAAGACCGACTTCTCTGAATCAAGATTAGCCACACAATCTCTCTGCAAAATAAGCAAAGAATAATTTTTGAAATGCTTATACAGATTGGCCCAGACACAAACCAATAACTCTTTCACAGTAAAGAAAAAAGAAAAAGGAGGGAAAAATATCCTTAAAATCTTGGTATTTCAACTATACTTGGCTCAAAAGAGCCCCATGCCATAAATACTTAGCTTGTTTAGTCCTACCAATACCACAGAGGGCCAAGGAAAGTAAACCCTCCATGATGATTGGATTTGAAATTTCTCTCTGAAGAGATAGAATGACTTGATACAAGAAGTCTCATACATTCTGGAATTAGGTTTGTGTCTTTGAAGTTGAAAAATTAGAAGTATCTGATTGCTACTCTAAGATTTTTTGTTGTATCATTTTGGGTACCGGGAAAAGAGAGAGAATATTATCCACTGAACTAGAGGAGTGGAGGGAACACTGTCTACGGAGCAAGCAAATTTTCTTTGCATTTTGAGGTGGATACAGGAAACTTCATATATTTTAGAAGTTAGTTTTTTTTTTTTCTGAAGAAAGTTTTGAAAATGTGATTCTTCCCTACATTTTCACCTGTATTATTCTGGGAAATTGTCTGCTAAACTAAGGTGAGAAAGGGAATATTGTCTGCTAAACCGACAAACATTTTTCCTCTGCATCTACATATGGATACAGGAAAATTGATATATTTTTGCAGGTAAGTTTTGTTTCTGACCCCAGGAAAGTTTTGAAATATTTGGCTGCTACTATACAATTTTTCCTGCGTCATATTGATTACTGGAGAAGAGGGAATATCATCTGCCCAACTAACAATTTTCCTTTGTATTCAGAGATGTGGATTAGGTTAAATTATAGTTAAGTTTCAGATTCAAGTGTAAAATTCCAAAGATATGAATAAGTTCTTTACCATGATCCCTAAAACACTCAGACTTTTGTCACCAAATATGAAGGTGTAGGGCAAAAAAGTGTATCTTTTTTTGTAAGATACTCTCAACATTAATCAGATAATGTGTTCTGTTGAGAAAACTTAGATAGTGGTATCACCTAGATTGAATAACAAGAAATCATTTTGGAAAAATAATTTTCTAACAAGGGGAGAGATGAATGAGGATTTCATTTTACGAAAATTAAGGGAATGATATTAACAAGTTACCAAGAAGGTTGTTTTTCTTTTTTTTTTTTTTCGGGGCGGGGGGGTGGGGGTTGTTGGGAGGTGGTAGTCCATAATTTACATATTAGTCTATGATATCCCCTAAATCCTTAGCTCTATTGTGATGAGCTCTAAATCGAAAAGAAGGGTTTGAAACCTATGATCTTGAATGTTGGGAAAAAGAATTACACAATATCAAAACCCTTGTGTTCCTCTATGTCCAAATGAGTAAAAAGATGGGAAGGGGATTACAAAACATTAAAAGCCCGCCTATTCCAAATTATTGAAAAGGGTTTGGAACCTTATATCTCTAACTCTACCAAAAGAAGAAGAAACACTTTCTCTTTCCAAATAAACTACAAGTAGCCAAGAAGATAATAGGAATAAGTTTTCTCCTTCTCTTATCACTCTGGATACCCTGCCAAATTCAAATCTCATTCACAACAGATCCCGCTGTTGAAAACTACAAGTACTGGTTTGAGCAACTAGCAATGTATGCTTATTCCCTTATCTCAAGTCAAGAATTTCAGGCCAGTTGAAGTCAAGCAATAGAATTTGTGTCATATCACTCATGTTATGGGTCTTGCCTAGTTGTATGAATAATATGGAGAGAGCTATTGCCCTGTTTCTTTCACTATCTAGAAACATTACAAGTGTTTCATCAACATGGCCAATGGTTTTGATGTTAGATAGAACAAAGATGAAGGAGAGTGGTTGAAAGAATCTCTGCTAAAATTATGATGATTGATATTTTCTTTTTGGGTTGTCAATGCAAAAGATTATTTTGATTGGAATAGTGGAAGATTGCACAGAGATTATTTTGATGGTTCTGAACTAAGGGAAACTTACACAATTAACCCACTAGATCTCTGATGATTGTACAGAGCCATGGTAAAGTTTGCTCCAATCACCCAAGGATGAATCAAAAGCTTCCTTATCCCATAAGATCATTCTAAAAAAGATACCTCACTCAAATAAGCCTTGCCATAAATGCCAGAAAAGATTTGAAGTGAACTATGAGCCTTTTGCCTTGTAAATGCAAGACATCGGCCTTCTCTAATTGAATCCTTCAGGAACGTTCATCCTAGTGCGATTAGCACAATAAAAGGTTAGATTCTTAACGAGGAACTACCACAGAGTAGTTGTAGATGAACTTGTCCCATATGAGATCAAAGGGAAGCTCTTATTCTTCCTCCCAGTGACTTTGATTAACCTAACACATTAGAATAGGCTGTGAGATTTCCAAATGATGAAAAGTTGATGGTTGCAATGGAATAGTTAATAGAGTCTACAAGATTTACTCTGGTATTTCTATTTAAAAAAAAAAGAAACGGTTTCGTGCTTGTGTGGTTTAACATTTTGGTGCCACTTCTATTGTAATTTTGGATGCATTGCAAGAATTACAGTGAATTATGAAAAAGCTTGCATTGATAAATGCTTTAAGGAGACAAATGCATATTTTTTTCCGAAACACTTCTCTTCTATTGCAAATAAAATGTCAGCTTTCAAAATTTTCATCCACAAAACTTAAAAAAGAATACTTACCAAACAGTAAATATTGTCAAAAATTTATGTTTTGCACAGATGAGAAACCCTATATGCAACAGCTGGTGGTATTGTTAATAAAAGTCAAGACTAAAAAGTTAGCTAGTTCCAATGGCTCATCTATAGCCTCAAGTTGATGATGTATAGGTTGATAAATGAATGAAGAAAATGTTAGTTACTGCTTCCATAAAGAAATCATTGCTTATGAATTTATTATTACATTACAGAACCAATATGAATATTTTAAAAGTTCTTATAATATTGTATATGAAAGAGAAAGATATGTCATAGCTGTTGAAGCTGGTTATCCTCTTAACTGTAAAATAAATGACAGCAGTTAAGCTACTTTTATGATTGTAGTGAAGATCTAACAGGGGTTATTCAAGAAATTCCTTGCATTGATATGGTTGTTAGAAACACTAATGAAACATAAACATGAAATTAAATTGCATTAAGAAAGGATAAATACATCTTGAGGCATCAAATTACTTTTTCCCTGAACCTTGTCTCATTGCCAACTTCTACTTGAAATACTGGATCAGAAGTTAATCACCAAGGGAAGTATATAAACTAGTCACAAGCTCATCCCCACACTTTCTTGTCCTCATGCTCCTCTGTATCTTCTTAATCATGTATTGAGATATTGAGTTTCGCCTTTAACAAGAATCTCTATAAGTTTGCAGATCCCCCTTATAAATAGATCTGCAGCTGGTTTACCCGTCTAATCAAACATGGCTAGAGCCAGTGACTAGATGGTTGAGTCACCCAACTCCTCTGCCTTTGGAGAGGTTGCAACTTTTGCAACACCCTGGAGTAAATTTGGTAACTCTCATTATTAAAAGCAAAACTAAAAAACGGAAGATTTTTAGAAGCTATTTTGGTTAGTCTGGCGTGGCTTTTTCCACTGGTTAAGAAATGGTTTTTTCCTGTGTTTTAACCAAGGCATGGCTTTTTCCACTGGTTAAGCAATGGTTTTTTCCTGTGTTTTAGAGAAGCTATTTTGCAGAATAACAATCTGGAGTCCAGAAAGTGTACCAAACATTATAATTTGTCAGAGATAAGGAACAATTATTCCATTTACTCCTCATTCTTGTGAACCATTGAATCTTAAAGGACTTTTTGTTTCCTTTATGCATGAACTGCATTCCCTTGTTGCTTCATTAATGAATTTTCTGTCTTTGAAATGCTTTTCTTTCTTTTGCTTAAAATTAGTGCATCCTTATTTTTCTTTTCTTTTTCTTTTCTAGCAGATTACACTCCAAATATCACTTTTCTTGTTATTTCTGTGTTGTATTGTATGGCTGATGAAGATGATGGCCTTGAATATCCGTGTCTTCATCTTAATACACCGGTTATGTAGATGTTTTGAGTTATGTTCTCGCTGTTACAGCTAAAGAAAGCACTACATAATGGTGCCCGTGTATCTAATTTTTGAAATTGCAGATGGCAGAATACTTCAATGAGAAATCTGGTATATCAGGATGCATTTCCACTCGGAAACTTTAATGCCATGTTCAATTTCACTGGTTCTTGGCAGTTGA